CCAGGTACAAGACGACGGGAATCGTAGACCCATCAGCTATCCATCACGATCACTCAGTGATGCTGAGAAACGCTATGCTGTCATAGAGGAAGAAGCACTAGCAGGAGTTTGGGCATGTGAGAAGTTTAGTGAATATGTTGTGGGCATGAATTTTGTCCTAGAAACTGACCACAAGCCCCTTCAAACCCTCTTCAACACCACTGAGCTTTCCAAGACACTACCGCGTATCCCGCGGTTTCGCCTTAGGTTAATGAGATTCAGCGTCACTGTCCGATATGTGCCTGGGAAACACCAGCTAACAGCTGACGCACTCTCCCGTGTACCTACAGAAAATCCCAGAGAAAAGGCCGAGCAGTTTGTAGACGAGTTAGAGAGCTTTGCAGCCCAAACAGTGTTCACACTCCCAGCGACTACACAGCGCCTGTCACAGATGCGAGAGGCACAAATCGCTGACGAAGAATGCGCTCAAATCAGGAACTATTGCAGTCAAGGATGGCCAGCATATATGCCTCACCAACCCTTACTACGTCCCTACTGGGAAAACAGAGCCCATTTCAGCATTGTTGATGACTTGCTTCTCTGGGACGAGCGCATAGTGATTCCCAGGTCCATGAGACTGGAGATACTTGGCTGCATTCATGCTGGTCACCTTGGTATAACCAAGTGCCGAGTTAGAGCCCGAACCTCTACATGGTGGCCAGGGCTGTCTACGCAGATTGAAAACATGGTGGCAAATTGTAGCATCTGTACCAAAGATCGCCCTGAGCTCAAAGAACCACTCATGTCAACCTCCTTCCCTTCACGTCCATGGAAAAGGCTAGCTGCCGAACTCTTTGAACTCAAAGGAAAGGTCTACTTGATTGTCGTTGATTACTATTCAAGATGGTTTGAGATCAAGAAACTGAATGACCAATCATCTGCCAGAGTCATTTTAATCCTGAAAGAACTATTTTCCACACATGGCATACCTGACATCATTGTATCAGATAATGGCCCACAATTCAGCTCTGATGCCT